CTGTTCTTGATGTTGAGTCCTATGTTGTGACATCTGCTTTGACATTTGTTTATCAGGCCTGGTCTTCTTCTTGTCAACAACAGATTTCTTTGCAGCCACAAATCCTAGACCAGACATGTTTCCTGCATTTTGTCCAGCCTGAAGGATTTCTTCCAACTTGTCAGTTCTAGTTGTTAACATCTTGACAGACTTAGTCATCTGATCAAGTTTGGAGTTCAACATTAGAACTTCACCTTTGAGATGGCTTATAGTAGCAGTGTCTGCCTTCTTCTTATCCTCCAACTTCACTATGAGCTTTTTCTGTTTCTCATTTTGCTGACAAACTTCAGCACTTCTGATACATAGCTTCTTGTAGGAGTCAGCAAGTTCTTCAAATGTCACTTCCTCATCACTAGAATCATTATCAGAGTTACAAACACCAGATAGTGCGGTAACTAGTTTAGCAGATTCTTCTTCAGAGTTACTTTCTGAGTCACCATCAGACCAAGTAACAGACATTCCTTTCTTTTGTTTCTTTAGAAAGGTAGGACATTCAGCTCGAATGTGCCCATATCCTTCACATCCATGACATTGGATTCCTCTGCTTTGATTTCCCTTTTCTTCAGACTTAGTTCTTCTGCTGGAGTCATAAGATCTGCTAATGTCAGAGGAAATGTTCTTGACATTTGACCTTGACTTTGGGTCCATTCTCTTGATGAGTTTGTTAAACTGCCTTCCAAGCATAGATATAGCTTCTGATATATTCTCTTCATCACTCTCCTTGCTTTCATCTTCAGTATTGGATACAAGGGCTATGCTCTTGTTTTTCTTGTCAACATTGTCACTGATCCCTATCTCAAATGTCTGAAGTGACCCAATGAGTTCATCAACCTTCAAGTTGCAGATATCCTGAGCTTCCTCTATAGCAGTCACTTTCATTGCAAACCTTTTAGGCAAGGATATGAGAATCTTTCTCACCAGCTTTTCTTCTGACATCTTTTCTCCCAATGCTCCTGAGGTGTTGGCAATTTCCAAGATGTTCATGTGAAACTCATGAATGGTATCATCTTCCTTCATCCTTAGATTCTCAAATTTGGTAGTGAGCATCTGAAGTCTTGATATTTTTACTTTGGATGTACCCTCATGGGTGGTTTTGAGAGTGTCCCAAACATCCTTGGCCAGTTCACATTGATGTACTAGTCTGAATATGTTTCTATAAATTCCATTGAACAAGGCATTCAATGCTTTAGAGTTACCCAGGGCTAACTCTTCTTCTTCTTTGCTCCATTCTTCCTCAGGTTTCAGACTAGTCGTCCCATCTTTCCCAGTTATGGTGGGATGGTTCCATCCTTTGTCAGCAGCTCTCCAAGCTTTATTGTCCAGTGACTTCAAGAAGGCAATCATACGAGATTTCCAGTAGTCATAGTTTGATCCATCCAGAATAGGTGGTCTGTTCCCAAATCCTCCTTCCTTGTCCATAGCGCCAGAAAATAATATCCCTAGATCTCACCCAGAAAGACAGGCAGGGTGCCTGCTCTGATGCCAATTGAAATTCTGGCAACAGATACTTAATGTCACAATGAATGTTATGACACCGTATCTGACAAATTGTACATAAACCAAACAGTAATTTAAAAGACAGTAAAGAACACAATCAATTGTTAACCCAGTTCAGTGTATAACAACACCTACATCTGGGGGCTACCAAGCCAGGGAGGAAATTCACTATAAGAGGTATTAATTTAGGAATAAACCAACCAGTTTATCTCCTTCACTTAAGACCTACCCAATGCAACTTCAATCTAAGTCCTACTTAAACATGAGTTCCTACTCACTCCCCCTCAATCACATCAGTGATACTAATCTACTGATTAATAAGATTATGAAGACATTCTTCAATACACACGCTTGATTTTGCTTCAAAGCTTTAATAAAGAGACACAACACTCGTGCTTCAAAGCTTTGAGTGATAAACAACCCTTACAACCAAATCCTACTCCAAGTCACTTATCAAGTGATAATTGCTTGGCTCACAGTAATTACTAAAACTATCACAACTACAAAATTCCTTATTGATCTTCTCTAAAAAAGGGCTGCACACCATTAGGATTCGTGAGAAATATATATGCAGTCTATTCTTCATTTTGGGCTTCCATAAAAACAGCTAGGGTTAACCAAAGTTAACCTAAAGACTTGGTCTTGGGCTTTCATCATAACAGATTAGGGTTAAGCAAGGTTAACCTAATATCCACGTGAGCATCTGATCTAGTCAATATACTTCAACTCAGAATAGCATACCAGATTCCTGAAAATTCTCAGGAACAATAAATCTGCACAACAACTTGATCAGTACATGATGTCTTAACATTGGTTATGACATCATGTATCCTGCTCACTGATTTTGGTAGAATTCAGTACATATGATCATAGCTTAATCATCATGATATTCACTCATAATGAGTTGTTCCTGTAGAACATTCCTTCTGCAGAATTTGTCTTTATCCCAGAATGTTATGACATCAGTCATGACATTCGCAAATCTGGTTTTACCAAAAATTAATGCCAACAAGCAAACACTTACAAAAAGTATGAATGACCATGCAAGGATTGGACAGCAAGAGGTCCCCAAATATCAAAATGAATCAATTCATAAGGATGAGTAGCTCTATTATTGCTAATAGTATAGGAAAGTTTTCTTTGTCTAGCATAACTACATACATCACAAACATCTTTATGGTTAACTGTGATGAAGGGAAATTGGGAATGTAGGTACAAAATTCTGTTATTGGATAAGTGTCCTAGTCTAAAATGCCATAAGGCTTTTTCAGGTAAGGTAACTGTGGCTGCTATAGCAGATGAAGCATTATCTCTTAGTTTTAAGTAGTACAGTCCATCCTTTTGCTCAGCAGAACTAGTCATCCTCCTACACCGCCTTCGACTCCATCCACTATTGAAATTTATGAAGTCCCAAATACTTCTCCAGCTGCTGAAGAATCCGATCCTGAAACACCACCTGGATACCACCAATTTCCTGACCCATGGGATCAGCCTGTAGTGTCCACTGAATCTACCTTCCCAGTTCCTGAGATACCACCACCACCTCCACCTACTATCACACTTGACTCTTTGAATACTGAAATAACCGGCATGCGGGGTGAGCTTACCTCTTTACATGTAGATTTCCTTGGTTTTATGGATTTGGTAATCGAACAATTGGATTTCATTCACCAACACCTGTTCTCTACTCATCATGGCTAGGAGTTGTCGTAGTTATATTAATATGTTCTGTTTCTTGCATTTATGTACACAGTGAGGTCACTGTTTCGTCTAAGTGTGGGGGAGGAACCTTAGTTTTAGTTTATTATTCCTTGCATTTAGTTATTGTTTGTTACAAATTGTTACTGTTTTTTGTTTGTTTCAAATTCTAAACAATTCTATTAGTTAATGATATTTCAATTATTTATCATCAGTTTCAATTTTACTGTCATTATTTTTTCTGTTATTACGAGCTATTACTGTTACTGTTAGTGCTAATATTGCTGCTTACACTACTGTTACTATATTCAACTATGTTGCTATGTGTTTTATCTTCCCTAAAAATAACAAGTGCAGCTAATAATGCTAAGAAGAAATGGCACGATAATAACAATATGAAAAATTGAGTCTGCCATAAACACAGGTGTTACGAACGCAACCCCGATGTTACGAACGTAACAGCCCCTTCCATGTTACGAACGTAACGCCCATGCGTTGTGAACGTAACGGGGCGTCTCCCTGTTACGAAACAGAAACAGAGGCGTTTCATTTCCCTCTCACTTTTCCAAATGCACGCTGTAAACCCCAGCTCTTACCCACGTTCAAAATTCTCCACCATTCCCATTTTTCAAACTTCCTACATTAAGAGCTTTCATTCCCATTTAAGAGCAACCCACATTTGCATCCTATAAAAATCTCCACACAGTTTAATCCCATCCCATTCAAACACTCTCTGCAAAACCTCTCCCTCACCACTTTCACAGTAGAACCTTGCTTCAGTCAACGAATTATCAATAGAGAACAAAGAGGCTGACATGGGTGGAATCGTTTTTAGGAATCAAGACGGTGGACACCAAAGGGAGCAGTATTTAAAGTTTCACCGCATGGGAGTCTTGGCCACGAGATATCCCGACAACGATTGTCTCAACAAATTGGGAATATTTGATAGAGTGCATTGGCTGCTCCGTCTCTCTGGCCTCTCATTTGCATGCACGCAACATCACCCGACGTACCCTAAGCTGACGCTCGAGTTCCTTAGTTTGTTCTTGTATTCAACACTGAGTGATGACGGCATGTTCCTCACGGGCACCACATCTTTCCGTATGTTTAACACCGAATATGCATTAAACCAAGAAAGAATCACGAAGCTACTCAAATTTTCAATTAAGGAAGACGAATCCAAGACGGTGCACCACAAGGTCCCTGTTACCGAATATTCGGCTGTTGTGTTGTTCGAATTGTGGAAGAAACTCACCAATGTCTCGACAGGAAATTGGGATGAGTGTCTGGCATCTCACATTCACAACCCCACCACTAGGTACTACTTCAAGATTCTCTCCAACACCATTTTTGGACGAGCTAATAACAACAAAGTCAACTCAAATGAGGTATTTTTCCTTCATTGCTGCTTAGCTGGGAAAACCAAGGTAAATGCTACTCCGTTCCTTTTACGTCATATTGAGTCCCTTTGTGCAAGGGGACAACAACCAATTTTGATCGGAGGACTGATAACCACATTAGCTCATGGGCTTAATTTGCAAAGCCAACTAGAGACTCTTGATGCTCTACCGCCTCTTCTCATGGATTTGGACAACTGCAAATACATGCATTTGATTAGGAACCGAGAAGATGGCAGGTGTAATTTGATGGTGAAGAACGCAATTGTTCCAAGTGTGATTATGTCGAATAGGTTGCTCACAAATGTGGCAAATATGGATAAGTGGATTTATGATTTAAATGCCCCTAAACCCGACCTAGCCTCTCAGATGAATCAAAATCCTCAACCTGCTGATGAGGTAGAAGAAGAAATAGATGCACAGCAGCAGACAACACCTCAACAGGATATACCAAGCACTTCTACTAGGCGCAGAAGAAGGCCTTGTAACCCGACTACTGAAGATCTTTATGAGGCAATGATGGATCAAAACCAAAGGATGACAGATATGAATGCTCAGCTTACCCGCCAATCCCAACAGGCCACTGATATCCAAGCTCAGCAAACTGCAATGATGTAACTCATGCAATAGATGCAGCAACAACAAATTGAACAATGAGCTAGGTATGAGGCCCGTATGGATACTTTGACGACCGAAATGGGGGGTTTGAGTGCACGCATGGATGCTTTTCAAGAGATCCTGAACCATGTTGGATTTCCCTGCTTTGATGGACAGAGAAGAGGTCGTGGAAGAGCCAGAGGGAGAGGGCCTGAATGAAGATATCTCCTTCCATCCTTACCTCCTTTACCTTATTTCGAAACATTGAGGACAATGTTAGATTTAAGTGTGAGGGAGGAAACTCTATCATTCTATTTCGCTTTCTAGATTAGATTTAATTTTTCACATCGTTTTTCCTTTCTTGTACTTTCCCTTCAACAAAACAACTTCATGTATAATTAAGTCCTTAATTTCTAAGTTCTTTTTCGTGCATTATTGAATTTCCCCAAACTTTACAATTCTTGGCCCATAACGAAAAATTTACGATTATCACACATCGCGATGTGTCCAAACGGCTAGCTAAAACCAAATATTCAATTAAGTTTAGGCCACTTGAGGAAGTTTGACAAAATTGTTACGGTTTTGACATTTTAGAACTCCACCTTATGCGATGCCATTTTGGGTACTTATTATACCGTCAACCGCGAATTTTACTTTAAATTATCCCCTAATAGTTTATCTAGCAGTCAGCACCGTCAAAACACAAACTACGCAAGGAATCGATGAATATAAGTGAATGATCCGGAAGAGATGATGATAAAATAACAATCTTTGTCGTGAAATGCCCAAAGTAAGTTAGGTGACCCTCACTCGGTCATTTGGCCCAAAGGATGTTATTCTCACAAGATAAAAGAAAACTTATTGTAAATTGGTTTAGAAGTATCTGGTACTGAACTCGGTAGGGCGGACTACGGACCGATCCCCCGCAATTTACAATTAAGTTATAAAAGAAGGGGTTACCACTTATAAGTGCCAGAACCCCAAGAATCAACGGATCATAGTCGCTAACCGGTTACTTTACTATGTGCGTATGGAGATAAAGGGGTTAATGTGATTATGCTTGAATGAACACAGGTGAAATTTAGTTTAAAGGGTTGATTGGTGATATAACATCATGACTCGGAACAGTTTGCACAATTGGAGTACTCTAATGTCGTCACCGTACCTCCTTTGCGTCTAAATCTCTTGGCCTAATCAAAATTTACAAACTAGCTGGTTTGCGAACATCGGCGCGTGTGTTTAATTTGTCGTTCTTATAAACCGTCTTATCTTTTTGCTTGAGGACAAGCAAAGGTTCAAGTTTAGGGGAGTTTGATAACACGAAAATGTATCGCTTTTTAGGCCTAATTTAAACGAGTTATTTGTACGTTTTTATCGAATAATATGCATCACGAAGGTATTTGTACGTGTTCTCAGGTAAATTATATTTTCCAAGACATAAGATGACAGATAAACTAAAAGGAGCAAAACAAGCTAAGAAATGGCAAGAAGAAAGAAGAAAAAATGACATTCTGCTAAAAGCTCACACCAGAAGAGCGTTACGAGCGCAACGCCTAGCGTTACGAACGTAACACCTAGCGTACACTGTTACAAACGTAACGTAACGCGTTACGAACGTAACAAAAGGCCTAAGCTATTACAGACGTGATGATTTGCACTACGAACGTAACACCTTAAAAACTCAGTCTATGCAGTAAACCACGAAGCAGCCCACACGAAGTCCACACGACCTCATTCCATCAGTTGAGAATTTAGCGCACGTACTGAAATAATGGAACATGACGGTTACAAGAGAGAGCCTATATATATGCTGAAGATTTCACTTTGAAGGGATCGAAGAATTTGTTTCAGAACCATAATTTCCTTCTGTATTGCATTACTTTGTTTTCTTGCTTTTAAACCATTATATTTTCCTTTCAAGCTTCTGTAATTTTCCAGTTTCCAAAAGTGTTAATTCTTCACATCGAAGGATTAACACACTTAGTTCTATATTTCAATTAATCGCAAAGCTACTGTACGAATTCAAGATTACCACGAAAATATAATTACAGGTTTTTTATGCAATTCAATCTTTATTGTTTATATGTTATGTTGATTATTTTCATGAACCGTATTTTACGTTGCATGTTTGCTAAATACATTATGTCTGGCTAATTTTGTTTGTACCGGTATGTGACTCTTAAGCACCGAAGGAATTCGGTGATAACTTGGTCAAAATCTTTTATAAATAATTTATGGATTCCAATTTCCATAATTAATTTAACTACCCTTGTCACGAGAGTGAAAGGATATTTAACACGATTTTTCCACGAGAGTGGAAAATTAATTAAGGCAAGAACCTGCATGCGAGAGCTGGGGTTCGACCCAGTGGTAACGAAACATTAATTTTTAAATGCACGAGAGTGTTTTAACAAATTAATTAAACTTGAGTCATTTTCAAAAAGTGTTATTAAATTTAAAGTGCATCTACTAGGTTTAGTAGCATAACTTACTTCATGAACACGAGAGTGTATGTCTCAGGTTTTTAAACAATTTATTTTTACCGAAATACTTTATATGCCAAGTGATTCACCGAGTTCCCGAAGTCCGACTATCACATATCGGTATAACTATAACTATTACTATTAATTAAAATCTCTTTCCCCTAAAACCAAATATTCATCGCTTAGTTAAACATTTGTAACATCAGATCGTATGCGATTGATCCTCAGTCTCCGTGGGTTCGATAATCATTTAAAACTAGAACGACTAAACTGTATACTTGCAGTTAGTATCCCGATAGACTCACAAAGTCACGATCAATAAAACATGAAGGAAATTGTACAGAAAAATTAGAAATTAAGTTGCAATCATAACATGATCTTCCAGGCTCCTCATTCACACACATAGTCTTGCATCCATATGGACTTCTTACTCTGCCTTTTTTCCAAGTCTTAAACTTCAACTAAGCATGACAACATAATCCGTACCCGCGGGTATCCATCCAAACCGTTCCGAAATTGACGGGGAAAACCCATTTTAACTGGGGTTTGGTTTCGGGTTTGGGTTTCTCTCGACTACAAAATATGGGGTCGGATAGGGTAATGAGGACACTAGTATCCACTCCGAACCAGTTCCCGAACCCATCCCGTTTATTTAATTAAATATATTATTATTTAGTTTTGATAATTTAGTATATTAAATATGTGGCTAATGTTTTGATATTTTGATTTGTATTTATAATTTAAAATATTTGAAATGTATATATGAAATTTTTTGTGATTTTTTTATTTTATTATTTTATTATTTGTAATGTAATCTGATTTTGAAAAGAATAAAAAAAATTATTAAAAAAATTAATTTCACTAAATAGATGGTAACGGGGCAGAGATACTCGAACCCGTTTGAAACAAGTTTGAGTTTTAAATCTCCATCTCCATTAATATTTGAGGCGAGAAACGAAGATTATTTGAGAATTCATATTTGAATTTGATGAAGTAAAAACTGTTCTCGATCCATCTCTTACCATGCCTTTTATGTGCCTAAAAAATCAATCACTTGATCATTTAAAATCTTGTGATATTTTCTTTTTTAAACTTTTCTATTTATAGAATATTTTTTATTTGAGATTGCATCTAATCAAATCTTAAAGTCATCAAGGGTAAAACGAAAGTACTTGTAGCCCAAGGAGGTGAAAAACCCAAACCGCGTCAATCTTTTATTTTCATTTTTTTTTCATTTTACCCTTCCTTGATTCCCGTTATTATCTAGATATACTTTTACTTCTTAGTGTAGTTTCTTGGAAAGAAAGATTCTTCTAATTTCTTTGAAAATTTCAAAAGCCACAACCAAGAAACTTCCATTCGATCCACGACCCAATTTCATCGGGTAGGCCCACACACTGAAATATACACAAGAGTGCGCATTGAATTTAATAACTTGCTCAAGAAGAAAAAAAAAACGGTCGCACAGTGACCAAGATCAGAATCAGAAGAAGAAAAATAGTTTCATAATCCGAATTTTGATTCAACAAACTTCCTCTATTTTTGCCGACTTTTCTGTAAGTTGTTCGTGTTGTTTCTTTAGATTTTTTCACATTCATAATTCATCATTTTTAGGTTGTGGTTTGTTTCTGATACTTATTATTATTATTATTATCACTTTTTAGTATTTACATAGAAAAGATCGTGAAAATTAGGTTTAGATGATTCAGATGAAGCATAGTCACACCGTTAGAAATATGGTTTTTGATAGAACATTATGACGCAGTGTAATGGAGTCTACTAGAGTCAAGTCAATTAACCTAATTCATCTATATGTTTACAGTTTTGGAAGAATCAAGGAACATGGATCAGGAGAATTCTGGAACTTCAGATGATCTTTTTTGCCACTATCAGTTTGAAAATGGGTCATCTCAGTTTTTGTGTTTAGATGTTGATCACAATGAAAAAAATGGAACTTTCCTTAACCAGTACATAAGTTTCGCTGTGGAAAGCTTTGTTCAAACAGTTGCTTCATGCAATGGGTTGATTCTCTTATCTGGTTATGTCACTGATCAACCCTGCTACTATGTGGTCAATCCTCTTATAAAAGAATCTGTTACGATCCCTCAACCTTGTATTCAAGAACATGTTATTCGAGTTGGTTTAGCTTCGGATGATTATAACCAATTTAAGATTGTTCTTGTTGAAGAAAAATCTTGTTCCCAATTGATGAATGGACTGGAAGTTCATGTGTTTTCTTCTGACACAAGCGAATGGATAAAGGTAAACCATTCCGTCGATTTAACTCTGCCTCCGTTGCCAGAATTCGAGTTTAAGGAACTATCCACACAACCTCTTTATTCAAATGGTTCAATCCATTGGGAAATAGGTGGAAAGTTACTGGTGTATCATGTCGAAGAAAACAAGTGTGAACTAATTGAACTTCCGGATTTTTCCAAAGACTGGCCATGGCAATCGACGATGATGTATCGCCGAAGTTTGAGCGAATCGAGCGGCTGCGTTTACTATTGTTACACTGATTTAGATGGTTTTCACATTTGGGAGCTTCTTGAGGAGAATTATGATCTCGGGCCGTTCTGTGATTCTGAAAATTTTAGGTGGAAATTAGTCCACACTGTCATGCACGAGACTTTGGCCTCTAGGCGTGACAAATTTGGTGACACATTATTCGAATGGGAGCCGCTCACGCCGATTGCTTATAGTGAACAAGCAAAGACTATATATTTGCAGATTCCAGGTGCTGTTGTTGGTTATGATTTTGACACAGAAAGTTTGAGATTGATTTGTAGATATTCATATCCAGATATGAATTTCAACTGCTGCTCATTTCTATGTTCAACTAGTTTTGGGACTCATAATGTGCCTAGAGAAGATAACATGGTGACTGATGGACAAAAAATGGAGCTGATTTTACCACTAGAAGATATTGAAATTTTGTTTGTTTAGATTAAGTTTTGGTGACTCTCTTGTCAATACAATCCATTTTATGCTACTAGCTTTTTTCACATTTTATTTGTTTAACACTTGTGGGAACTTGTTTGGAACTTTATGTCATTAGATATTTTTTATGCTCAAGAGATTTATACTAGTTCTCCAAAGTGGCTACTCCATTCTTCCCAGCATGTGAGATTTCTTTATTAAAATATTGTAATTTTAAATTCTAAGATAAAAAATTTGTTACAAATTTAATATTTAAACTTCAAAATTTGTTGTTTTTATTTTTTGTTTAGAGAAATTTGTTGTTTTTGTTTAACTTAAATATAAATCTTTTTGCATAATTTTAACTTATAACTTAAATAAAATCAATGAAGATTATTTAGGTTATTTTTATCAATGGACAACTATAAACTTTTTTTTTTTATTTCTACTTTTTATTTTTCTTTCCTTTCACTTTCTCTTAAACCAAACAACTAAAAATTCCTTTCACTTTCCACTATTTTTCTCTTCTTAGAATTTCTTTCCTCTAACTTTCTTTTGTAATCCAAACAAACTATAAATGCAATGCTACATGTATCTTTCCTATGCAAACCAAACTAAAAAACTCAAATTATGAAATATGCAAACTAAAGTTGTTATAATATTCCGTTAGTGTGATCCTAAATATCATGGTCAACAAAACTGATAAATAAAGATTTAATAAAATAATTTGTTTATCATCTAAAGAATTAAAATATTGTATAAATTTTAATTTATTAATGAATTATTAATATCTCTATGAAATATCAATAAATAAAATTTAATTTTTTAAATTAAAATAAATATAAAATAAATGTTAGAAAAAAAAAGCCATGTAAATAGTTTTTACAAAAACTAGTTTGACTTATATTTAAACAATAATTTGATGAATTAGAAATTTTTTAATCAATTAAATGTTAGAATCATTCAAATTTACTATTTTTATTGATCACTATCACCACATTACCTTTAATATTTTAATCAACAAACTTATTTGTAAATATTTATAGTTATTGATGATATTTATAAATATTTGTAATATTAGATGGATCCTATAAAAACACATGCTTTCGTTTTAAATAGAATCCTATAATTATCATATGATCAATATTCATTTAAGTATATGTATATTAGATAATACACCATTGTTCTGACTAATATATATATACTATTTGTTTATTACAAATGTATTTTATCAAATTGAATAATACTCTATAGTCATTCATATAATTAACTTTTTATTTTTTCTATTTGTTTATTACAAATGTATTTTATCAAATTGAATAATACTACATAGTCATTCACACAATTAACTCTTTATTTTACGGGTCACTATCAAATTATTACAATTATTTGAAGATAAAATTTTTATTTTTAAATGTCAATTTTTTTTTTCATGTCACAATTTTTTTTAATTATTTAATATAATTGAATTTATATATTAATTGTTTATTTTACAATTATGTAATTCAAGTTAAATTCACATGTGTATTTAAATACATCTTTTGTCACGTTTACCATTATATTTTGCATAATCATATTATTTGTTGTAATATTATTGTTTCATAATTTTTTATTGTACTTTCTCAATAAAAATGAGTTTTTTATATGTATATCTAAAAAAAATATTTTATTAATATTAAAATAAATTCACCTGTGCTGGACCATCTTTGCCTATGCTATTGGGCCTTGATTAATATTTTGCAACATTGGGCGCTAATGTAAAATTTTGGAAAAATTAACTTGTCACCCCATATTATAAATGACATCTCCTAAATGGTATGAAAAAACTAAATTATTCAGATCTAAATCATTCACCATATATTTCAAATTTATGTTATCAATCAGATTTTTTAATTTTTTGGGTGATACCACAAATCTCTTGGGCAATACTGAAAATTGCACGAACAAGTGAGAATTTACGATAAATTTGTGAAATTTCCAGTATTTTATATCGGAAATTTCAAAATAATCAATATTTTCGTATCAGAAATTTCAAAATATCCAATATTTTCGTTTACCATTTATACCAGAAATTTTAAAATTTCCGACTCGTCACATAATACTAGAAATTTTAAAATTTCCGGTAGTTTAATTTTTTTCTACTATGTTTTATTACTATCATGTTTTATTATCATTTAAAATTTTAAATATACTATCAAAAATTTATAGTACTTGAAATTTCATAAAAATATATCAGAAATTTGAGTGATACCAAAAATTTCAATCTCTTTACCGAAAATTTTATCTTGAAATTATAATTTTGGAGGATGCCATGTTAAATTCTCAAAATTTTACTGTTGATTTGTGTTTAGACTCTTTAATGGATCAAAACATTATTTTTAACCTTCTTATGATATTAATAAATTGAAATAATTACAATATTTTTTCAAAAATTTCACCCGTGTCTCTGACTAGTTATATATAGCAGGAGACCAAATTTATGAACGAATAAAATGAAAAAATTGTAGCTCTCGAGAAAAACAACGAAGGAGATACAACACAAATACGTTTTGGATTGTGTCAAAAATAAAAAAAAAATAAAAATAATATAAAGTAAATTCTCTCAATGACACATTCCAAAAAAAAGTACAGCATTTTGAGAAATTGCACGCACACAAAATATTGCCCCTATAAGTGAGACAAATACCAAACTATGTGCAATTATGACATTTGATTGACACCCTTTGTTTACACCTAACACCCCATATATTTTCCTAATATTAGAAATATTCTCTTAATGTTTTTTATTAACAAATATTCTTTCCGTCCCAAAAAATTTGGTAATGCATACAAAAATAAAAGGTACAAGTTTTTGATGAATTATTTGAAAAAATTGATGCGCCGCAAAAAAATTTATTAAATATTTCAAAATATCTAATATCTTGAATATATTATCCATCCGTAAAAAAATATGATAGTGTTATTTTTGTGTGATTGTAATTGTATCAACACTTTTGCAGAATATTGATTGTACCAAAAAAATAAAATAAAAATTAACCTTCTAAATAAGTGTTTTTACCGATAATTTAGAAATATATGGTATGAATATATATCTGTAAAATTTTTAAAATTGTAATGCATACTATCTATATCGAATATTTCTAAATTATCGATAAAAAATCAACCAAAATATTGCATTGTTATCATATATTTCTAAATTGTTGGTATTAAATCATAAATTTAATATCGTCAATTTCAAAAATACGGTAAAACTGCATGTTTTTTTCTAAATATTCAATATTGTATCAAAAAATTCAGTATAAATATATAAATTTAAAGAAAAATAATAATTAATTGTAAATATCTGATAAAATTGCAAAAAATTTATTTATAAATTACTAAGTTTTTGAAAAAAAATAAAGAAAATTATATTGTGAATGTGAAAATTGATTTAAATTTATTTATGAGAGTATTATGGTTAAATTAAAATTATCTGAGACTGTGAAGTCTAAATTGGGAGTGCGTAGATTCCTTATACTAAAACGTTTTAAATTTGAAATGTATATGGGCTTTTAAATTTTGTTTTTTGAAGGCGCAAAACAAAGGTTTGAAATGCAATATACTTGGGCTGACTCATATATATTTTTAAATGTTAATTTGAAATAAAAAAAAAAACATTTTTAGGCATATCTATACAAAAATCTCTAGAAATATGTTTTATTATAACTGGAGTACAATATATAAATCTTGAAGTAATTATGAGAAGTTATAAATTCAATTGAAAATTGTCGATTACTGTGAAGAAGAGTTTTATATCGGTGTATGATTCATTAAGTGCTATGAGATATAAAGATTATAATCTTTAATATTGAAATAAATGTGCTTATCTAAAAATCATATGTGTCGGTACATAAAACTGAAAGTTATAATATGTGTTGGTCGGAAGACTATGTGTCAACCTATATATAAAATATAAGCTACATGCTTCATTATTGAGTTACACGTGTCGGCCTGAAAATCGTATGTGTTGGCACATGCTGATGTTTTTTGTGCAGAAATCAAATTTTGATGTTTTTGATCAATTTTAATGTGGTTTTGAATGATTCCTAAGACCTTTAATGCAAGAGTGCACCATATGACATAAATATATCATCTAATATACAGAAATGCTAAGTTTTCCTAATTTTGACATCATTCAAAACATTTAATGGTGAAGATGCACTCACATACTCCTCCTTTTTTATGATGGCAAAACTTGCGACGAGACATTTCATGTCGTTATCGAAGGCTCCCCTGACTTTGTGCTTCCCAATTCAGCTCACATATGCTTCTCCCCCTTTGACAACATAAACAAGAAAGATAGAAAATCATGAGAAGTATCATATTCCAACGCAAATACGAATATATCACTCATATGCATTTTTGCATAGAAGAACAACAATCACATATCCCCATATATATGTAATGATGCGAAATTGATAAATAACTAGCATACAACATTACCAAAATGTAATGCAATGCATGAATAATAATGGATATGATGCAAGAGAAAACTTTTCAAGTCGCTTCTATGGCGTCATGATTAAGTAACACAACACAATGAAACTCTCAATGCCGCACACACATGTGCCTAGCATAGCCACAAAAATGTAACTACTCAATCCAAAATAAAAATATTGTCATAACATGTGACCAACTACAACAAGAATAATATATGCAAATAACATACATACATTCAATGAAGGTGTGAGAAACACAAGAAAGAGGGTTGAATTGGGTTTCACCAAAAATAATTTTGAATCTTTTTGCGACGATGAAAGACCAAGTTAACCTAGAACATAAAAATAAATGAACACAATTATTTTTATCCTGGTTCACTGTTAACTAAACTACTTCAGTCCACCCCTCAAGGTGATTTCGCCTTCAACAAAGACTTAATCCACTATAACCAAACTGATTACAGATAACCTACAATAAGTTAGATCAACTTTATTGGCACCCACAATAAGTCAGTCGATCCTTATTGCAAATCCACTCAAGCCGCAACA